GAAAAATTTTGTTGAGGAATCAATTGCCGACGAAGAGGACAATAAAAATTTTGTTGGCCGATTTTTTTTTTTTTTTTATGAAAGGGGACAGAGGTCAAACACACAATTGACATATGGCAGCCCTCAGAGAGTTTCACAAAAAAAACCTTGAAATATTATATTAGATAGATAACCGATTCTATAAAACCCCATTAAATTACATGTCTTTATATTTTATGGACTTATATCTAAATAGAAAATTAAAATGAATCAATCTTTTAGTAAAATCTTATGTTAACGAAAAAAATCTCTATTTTTTTTTTTTTTTGTGGTCAACAATCGCCATAGTAAGTTGATTCTCTTATGCTCCGGGTTCAAATTTCCTTTAGGACGGAGAAATATTCTTTAAATTAGAATATTCAAATATTGTTTTCGGATACGAAGAGATTATGAACCAAAAATTCAGAACTCCCGTTACTTATAAAAAAAAAACATTAACAACAATCGCAACATTGATCAGTGGAGTGTCTACAATATCATGGGGCCTTCAAATTTGAAAGAACGTCCATATTTGCTTACTCTTTTTCATTTGTGGGCCTTGTGGCCCATTCATAGAGACTCATTTTACTCTCTGCCAATCCCGATCTCCGGCGAACCTCCCTTGCCGCTTAGGTTTTAATATGGCTTCTTTCTAGTGACGGTTCAAAGCTTAGTGGTTCTGTGAAAGTCTATGCTCGAAGATGTGTGACTGAGTTTTAGGAAAGTTTTTGGGACCAAACTATAATTCACAAGAAATGAAAATAACTCGAAGGGCTCATCATGTTGGTTACATTACATGTTGCATGTGTGACTGTCTAAATGTGTCTTTCGTGGATTAATTCATGACATTGTGTGATTTTCTGGTTCATTCTCACTGGTGGGGGGAAACAAAAAAGGTATGACAGAACGTTAATTTGATTCAATTATCTTCGAACTATTTGTGGAAAATACACGTGAAGTCTTTGGTGATGAAAGCAATTTTTTTCTTCTTTTAATGTGTTATATATATATGACATATGAAATCATTCATTGTCATATATATAGAGAAGCATTGGATGCTTTATTGTGCACACCAATTTTGGGGTCTGAACAAAGAGAAGCATTGGATGCTTTATTGTGTTACATGCTTTTTCTGTATACTGTCTAATTAATTAATCCTAGTGATATATTTTATATCTTGTTTCAATTTTCATCTATTACTCTTTACTTTTAGTGTCACAATCAATCCTACACAGCAACTGTCTTCTTTTCCATTTTTATATCTGTTTTGTTCTGTTTGAGTGTCTTGTTAACAACTTTTAAATAATTCGAATGATTGTTCTAACTTTTAGGTAACCCAACTTTGACAATATAATATTATTTACTTTTTCTTGTGACTATGAAATCAAATCTTCCCAGAGATCTCAATA